TACGGTCAAAGCCTCCCTTCAGAAACCCCTTTAACGGGGAACCCTGGCATCACCGCCGCAAAGAGGAAGATGGACTAAAGGATTCCGCCCAAGGCCTGATACCGCCAAAGTTGTGACGTTTTGCTACGGGAAAGGCGAAACCTGCCAATGCAGGGAAATTCCTTTCCGGCCCTTTAACAGCGACCTTATCGTAGCAGCGCTCGCATACCTGTGAAGAAAAGTTAACCTGCAAAACCTGTAAAGAAAAGTTAACCTGCAAAGGAAGACATTTACTGAGGGTGGGTAGGGTGGGAGAAGCTCTGGAGCCAAGTGAGGATTCCCAGGTAAGATCCTCCCTCTATTGTGTGGGCAGGTAATCCCTCCCCTACCTGGCCTGGTCTCCTTGGCAACGCTTCCCCCCAGGTGGGATTGGACAACTGACTGAGGTAGGCGGGGACCTCCAGGTATCCCACCTGAGGGAAGGCAAAGCCAAGCCTATGCTGATGGGGCCACTCCAGATCCAGGGCTGCGCGCGTCCACGCAAAGGGCGCCCCCCGTTTTAAGCGGGGAGCGGTCATTGCAACAGTGCAAGCTCATTTGCATGATCAGAGCAATGAAGTTGAGCCTTAGCCCAAGTTGAGTTATTTCTCCCAGTTTTTAATTATTTATTCATTTGATGACATTTGTCGTCTTCTTTTTCTTCTTCTTCTTCTTCTTCTTCTTCTTCTTCTCTTACGTAAAATCTCTAAATGCTTTACATAGTAAGGATCTAAATTTCATTTTATTTCAGGGTCTATTTAGAAGCTCCAGAGTCCATAGGTTTCATGTTTGGGTTGCAAAAGTGTACACATTTACCTAGGAGTAGGTCCTACTGTATCCATTGGAACTTATTTCTCAGTAGATATGTATAGGATTGCTTCTTTAGTTGGGCTTGTAAAAAGCACACCCTACTTTTGAAACTCCCCTGAGCTGTCAAAGGTTGTGCAGTGTTAAGAGAAATAATACCCCAGGGCCTTATTTACATGCTGAGTTTGGCATAGGAACCTCTGGATCACAGCCTACAGTTCACATCCCTAAAATAATTTATGTTTTTATAATCACCATTTATTTTTATGGCTGCTTGATACTAGGGCCTAATCATCTGAGCAGAGTGAAGACGCTGAACAGCTTTGTGATGGTTTATACGGAAAATCTGCTAATTTATTCTCTGTATGGGTTTTGCTTCCAAAAAGTGTCTTTTCACATAAGATTAACACTTCTGAATTCTTTGGGAGAACAGGTGTTGGGATTCACTTATAACTTTACAAACTTGGCGTGATGCTTCGAATGCTACAGGCTTGGCAACTTTGCCTTCTGAAGAAAAGAAACCAAGGCACACAGTGCCACATAATTACACAATAGTTTACAATGCGATGTAAAACCTGACAAACAAACATAGATGCACACTTGGAAGGGGAAGATAGAAATCCAGCAAGTTAATTTATGGAACCCAGTATTGGAATCCAGCGATACCATTTTCACCAGTACAAACCTCATTGCCTCTGGCTAAGAGCAGGATGGTGTAAGCAATATGGTTGCTGGTTACCAGCTACACCAATATTTTCTCCCTAGTATAAACAATTAATTGATCACAACCATCATGTTTGTGTTGCTTCCACAAGCAAAATATGAATTAGTAAGAACAGAAGAACAGCTCTGCTGGATCAAGGCAAAAGGCCTAATTCAGCATCCTGTACTTACAGCAGCCAAGTAGATGCAAATGGAAAGCCCACAAGAAAGACCTAAGTGCAACAGCATTGGCCCCTCTGTGGTTTCTAGCAACTGTTATTTGGAGGCCTGCTGCTTCTGACAGTAAAGAGAAAACCTGGCCATTATGACTAGTATTCATTGACAGCCTTACCATGTGGCTTATGTCTCAGAGGACAATGTTTCTTGTTGCTGTGCTTCATAGCCACACATTAGCCATGCGAAAGAGTTCAGAAACATTTCCTTATGTTTTAATTTAACCATAGCTTATTGTGTCATATGAACCCAACAAACTGACCAGCCTTAACTATGATGTGTTGAAGCAAGCCAACTTCAAACCATAATTTAAGAAGCTGGTGTGTTTCAACAAAACAAAGGTAAGATTTACCACCATTTAGGGTTATGAAGTTCCTGCCAACCTAGAAATTCGAAAGCACATCAAAGTGCAAGTAGATAAATAGGTACCGCTCCAGCGGGAAGGTAAACGGCATTTCAGTGCGCTGCTCTGGTTCGCCAGAAGCGGCTTAGTCATGCTGGCCACATGACCCAGAAGCTGTATGCCGGCTCCCTCAGCCAATAAAGCGAGATGAGCGCCGCAACCCCAGAGTCGTCCGTGACTGGACCTAACGGTCAGGGGTCCCTTTACCCTTTACCTTTAGGGTTATGAAGTAATGCTAAACCATGGTTAATCTAAGATGGAAGTGGAAGCTTCTGATCTGCTCATGGCTGCATCTGCACTAGATAAGGAGAGGGGAGTAGAGCATGCAAGCCCAAAGCAGTATGCTTGCATGTATGAAACAGACCTCATCTTTTTTTAATCACTATTTGGTTTAGGAGCTGATTAGATTGTAGCAGGCAAAATTAACAGCCATAATTCTAACATGGCGCAGCTGTGCCTCAAAGCACCATGCTAAAAATATTTAATGGTGTAACTATTTTAGGTAAAGGTAAAGGTAAAGGTAAAGGTAAAGGTACCCCTGCCGGTACGGGCCAGTCTTGCCAGACTCTAAGGTTGTGCGCTCATCTCACTCTATAGGCCGGGAGCCAGCGCTGTCCGCAGTCACTTCTGGGTCACGTGGCCAGCGTGACAAGCTGCATCTGGCGAGCCAGCGCAGCACACGGAACGCCGTTTACCTTCCCGCTGGTAAGCGGTCCCTATTTATCTACTTGCACCCGGGGGTGCTTTCGAACTGCTAGGTTGGCAGGCGCTGGGACCGAACGACGGGAGCGCACCCCGCCGCGGGGATTCGAACCGCCGACCATGCGATCGGCAAGTCCTAGGCGCTGAGGTTTTACCCACAGCACCACCCGCGTCCCTGTAACTATTTTAAAGAGGCTCAAATATCTTTTTTCCATTCCATGGAAACATGCATTTTGTTTTTGCCATGATGAAGTTTTGTTCATTTAAATTCCTCTAACATACCACTCCATTTAGCAATTGGAGAAATATATAAATCACATTCACTCTAGGTGAATTCTTTTAATAACTGTGATGATCTTATCTTGTACACGTGTCTAGGAGTGGACTTTTCTCCTAGCCACTGCAAAATTACTATTGTCAGTGTTGTTAATTGTTGGGTTTTCCAATAAGGGAGGCATGATAAAAAGCATTCTGAAAGGATACTATTTCGTTTCTTGTATCTTTCTCCATTACTGCAGGTTTTAAAATATGCCGACATTAAGAAGATTAAGTATAGAAAGTGAAAGCTAACTAACCGAAAATTAATTGAACATTTATAAGATGCACACTTCTTCATTTGTGCTTCAGTGGTGGAAGATTGGTAGCTTGTTCCTTCAACAGTGAGATGGGAAAATAAATCACATAATTTTCAGAACATTTTGATTTTATCGTTTGGGGAATTATCAGCGTCATTTATAGGATGCCTCTGGCATGATTTATTATATGATTCTACAAATAATGTTTAACAGAGCAATAAAATCACATAGTTTAACACTAAGGTGACCTTCATTTAGAATGTGCAAGTGAAAAAAGAAATCCATTCTTCTTGCTATTAAGGTTCATGTACATCATCATAATCATTTTCATTTAACAGTTGTGCCTTGTCTCAAAACAATGCTTCAAATGCAGTGTCATATATCTGGAGCAACTAGCCTCTGGAAATATTTCAAGAGATGTGACAGTAGTATTTGGGTGCATCTACTATATTAGACTGCTGCATATCCTATACACACAGACACCCCAACCCCCAGGAAGGATGCTATAAAAAGCAGGTAAGAGCCTTTGGGATATGGTGGATGGCATATCAGACTAGGACTAGGAAGAAATCCCTGCTAAGTGTTGAAGATCACAATATGACCTTGGGCCAGTCTCTTCCTAAGCTCCCTGACAGGAATATTGTCACTCTGAGCATTTTGGAATAGGGTTTGTCAGAGTTTGTTACACACATTGAAGCTCTATGCAGAAAGAAATAGCTTGTTAAGACTCCTGCTTGATAGTATAAGGAAAACTTAAGGATTATTACTCATGACAAACAAAGCCATTTTAAGTGTAGGTTTTACATGTGGCCAACATGGAGCCAAGATGTCAACACTATCACATACTAGCTCATGCTGTCTAATCTTGGAGCAAAAGCAGGAAGGAAGTAAAGCCTGTGTAAAGAATCTAGTAATCAACAAATAGTTATGGAGGAATTAGCAAGGAGGAAAAACAGGTTGCTGTTCTGTCTATCACCACTCACTGTTTCAGGTAGCTCAATTGTTGTTTTACTCCCAACACCATTGAAGGTATTTTGAGTGAGACACATTGCATAGATCATCCACAAACAGTTGTAAAAGAGGTAGAGACAACACTAGTGGAAGCAATCCATCCAGTTCTGGGTTAGAAGGAGATCTTGCTTACATGGAGATGATAGCACAACCCGCCCCCCGGAAAGTATTTCTTTAATGAGGTGCTTTCTGCTTTGAGGACTTGTTATTTTCCCCAGTAATGATTAGGCATAACTTTTCTATATGTTGATTATGTTAAGCCACGTGGAGAAGCAGCAGTTAAAATGAAGATTGCTCACTTTCCTCCTCCTAAATATGCAAATTATGGATCATTGGTGTTCTGAATTGGTACAGTAGGATACAGGAGAAAGGTGCATCACTGTGGACATTTGAATGCAACACCAAATCACAGTTTAGTGCTATATGAACAAGTTTTTCCTTCCTCCCACTCCTTGTCTTGTGTGGTCACACAGCATGCAGTTGTATTGGGGGCTAACCTCAGTGTACTGTTTTAAAATCAGGACAAATGGTCATTGGTTTAACTATGTTGCTGTATAGCTTAGTTGGTTAGAGCATGGTGCTGAGAACACCAACGGCACAGGTTTGATCCCCTGATGGGGCAGCTGCATATTCCTGTATTGCAGGGAGTTGGACTAGATGATCCTCACCATCCGTTTCAACTCTATCATTCTGTGACTCTATGGATTAAATTGTGGCTCCTGATCTTGGCAGGTTTGATAAACCAGAGTTAAAATGAGCCACAGTTTCTGGCTTTTGAATCCCCTCTTTGTGGCCATGCTGGAGAAGGGGGGCAGGGGAGCAAGCTCATGCATATAACTATGGTTTAGCAATATATCTTATAAGCTATGGTCTAGCATTATAGCCAAACCAGCCCATTGTATCCATGAAACCAGGAGCTATGTGGCATGCACTGACCTGGTCAGTGCAATTGTGGTTGCTTACGCAGACTCTTGACTTTAAACTGATAACGTGTACTAGTGCAGAAGTTTCTTCCTCTATAAAAATGCCCACCGTCTTTGCAAAAGGAATAGTGTTAGGAATATATTACATGGACTTGACCTAGCTGATACCCACTCTCAGTTATAAAAGGCACTTAAGGCATGAATCTTAGAAGATTTAGCACAGATTCAAATAGAACTGTTTTTAAAAGCTAAGCTACTGCCTGGAATAGAGGAGGGAAGTCCATAGGAATGACAAATGCACACCATGGCAATAGGTTCTATGCAAAACCAGGCACTGCAGTAATTAGAGAGAGGAGGGGGAATCCATTAAATAAAAGGATTGTCTTGTGCGCTCTGATACTGCAGGAACCTCCATATGTTATATTTTTGACATGCTCATAATTTAAGTCCTTCATTTTCTTCTTGTAATCTTGTAATGCCTTATGTGCTCATCTTTGCCTTTTAATTCATTCCATTTGGGTTATAGCTTAATGGTAATAAGTAGATAGCAAGTAACATGGAACTAGAGTCATTATATCGTTTCCCATTTTGAATGTTTCGTGGTTGCTAGCTTTCGGGCTTTCTGCCAAATGCAAGTTTCCATTCTTATTTTAATTAATTTAGAACTTCTCGGTCTTTATATGGGGGAGGAAGAAAAAAAAGCATTTAAAAAGGGATTTTTCCAGTGCCGAGCATAGGATTCGCCTCACCTTTTGAAACTTCTCATTTAGTCATATCTCAGCACATGTAATTAATCATGTCGGGTATTTAGGCTCAGATCCAACATTCTGCAAATTAGCTTGGTTGTTGTTCCCAAAATAATTAGGGGAAAAATGACTCCAAATAAACCTCTCTGTTGTTGGTCACCTTTCTTGCTGTTTTCTCTGGTGATGTCTTTAAAAATGCATGACCGCATGTAAGAAGACATTGTTCCATATGAACACGCTTCAAGGTGCAGCAAGTGCAGATTTATCGATCACATGTGGACATCTCCAATTAAGAAAGTGCTTGTTTTCATGCTTATCACATTTGTGTAGTAGTCAGATGGCTATGTATAGTTGCTGAGGGCACTGGCTGGACCCACATGTTTTCCCAGGACTTCCTTTAATGAGGCTGTGCATTAGCCAGCTATTGGTTATCTATGACATCATTTAGGAACTTTACCCCATGGGTCATCTGTTCCGACTGCCTGCAATGCAGGAATCTCAACTAGATCATACACGACAGGTGGCCATCCAACCTCTGCTTAAAAACTTCCAAGGAAGAAGAGTCCACCACCTCTTCTGGGAGTCTGTTGCACCAGCAAACGGTCCTAGCCTCTGGAGCAGGAGAAGATAAGCTTGCTCCATTCTCCACGTGACAGCCCTTTAGATGTTTGAAGATGACTCTCATATATCCTTTCAGACTCCTCTTTACCAGGCTAAAACATCCCCAACGCTCTCAACCATTCCTCATAAGACTTGGTTTGCAGACCCTTGGTCATCTTGGTTGCCCTCCTCTGCACATGTTCCAGCCTGTCATTATCCTCCTTAAATTGTGGGGCCCAGGCAGAATAGAGCAGGAATGTTACTTCCCTTTATCTCCCTAGTCCATGATACTCTCTGTAGGCTGTATCTTTCACCAACTTGGCAATGATGATGAAGAGTGGGCTGTGAGTTTTTCTCAGTCAACAAACAACCCAGTCATTTTGTACTCTACGTACTCCTATTATCATATGCTCATTTTACCAGTGTAGCATTCTATGGAAGACAAGTGGGACTTGTCCATCATGCTGCTTATATGTTATGCAAATCCACTGTATGATGTTAACAATAGCAATTTGCATCATGGCAGCCAAAATGACATCTGAGTGGATTTATTATACATCACCATATTAATCAAGGAAAGGATTGTACAGTGTATCACTGCATAGCATCCTAAGGGCCCTCTGAACTTCCAGAAGAAATTGTCAGGCCTATTAAACGTTTGGTCCCCAGGCCATGACACACCAGCCATTTGCTGCACAACAACTCACCACCTGCTTGATAAATCCCTAGTTTGTGAAGCCTGGTGAGTTCTTCCAGCATCTGGCAGTCTTCAGAGCAAGACTTTTGCGCTGCAATACGTGGACTGAGGATCACAGGTTGTGTAGGCTTATGATAGATAATTGTGCACTTGGCACCACACATGCAATCTGTATCAGGGATGGCGGAAATTGCCACTTTCTGCTATGCTGGTACATAGGCAATGGAGCTGAACTCAGCAGTACTTACTTCTGAGTAAACATATTTGGGATCAGGCTTCTTGACTGGAGGACCAGCAGTGCACTGCATCTCCAAGGATCAAGCCATTGTTTTGATGATTGGAACATAGGAAGCTGCCTTCTGCCATTTGTCCATTGAGCTCAGTATTGCCTACACAGACTGGCAGCAGGTCTCTAAGGTTTCAAGCAGTAGCCCTTTCCAGCCCTACCTGGAGATGCCTGGAATTGAACCCAAGACCTTCTGCACACAGGAGAGATACTCTACCACTAAGCTTTGGTCCTCCCCATTTAATAAGTTTCCATCAACACTGGAACTCATAAAGCTGGAGTCAGAATTCCAGAGTATGAACAATTTCACTACGGAACTATTATTCTCTGTTTCTTTTTTACACACACGCTTGCAAAGATTTAGAATGCTTCAGAATATGTTGGCATTTGGTTTGCGAATCAATAATGTGCAGATTTGATTCTGATCAGAACTGTCAGGTACAGAAAGCTCTCCACCGGCAAAAGCGGCAATACTTTACATGAAATCTTGGCATTGCTCTTGGCAATGATTCTTCAAAGACATGTGTGTTGCACTGAAAGCTGTTGGGCAGGTTTGAGGCTTTTGCAAATGGTAGCCGCAACAAAATGTTACAATATGCAGTGCTCTCTGATCAGGATTCCAGCTGCTTCATTCAATTCTGGTTTTCCATTCCCCCACACACATACCCAATGGAATAATCAGGCCTCATGCCCTCTAGGGGTTTTCCTATACAGTGGTACCTCAGGTTACAGGCGCTTCAGGTTACAGACTCCGCTAACCCAGAAATAGTACCTTGGGTTAAGAACTTTGCTTCAGGATGAGAATATAAATCACACAGCAGCAGCGGCGCAGCAGCGGGAGGCTCCATTAGCTAAAGTGGTACCTCAGGTTAAGAACAGTTTCAGGTTAAGAACGGATCTCCAGAACGAATTAAGTTCTTAACCCGAGGTACCACTGTAGATTTTTCAGAACTTCTGCAAACCTGCTGGAACCTCTCCCTTGTGCAAGAGTGTTGTTGTTTTAGCTACTCAGAGCAATGGCACTCAGAGGCTGAAAATAGGGAAGGATTCAATAAGTTTCAAAGGGCCTACAAGCAGGTAAAGAATCCTTTTGGTTCTTGTTTTTGTGTGGTGATCTGGGCTCTTTAAAGTCTCATAAAAAGGACCCAAGCAGTTTCTGTTTCAGCTAAAGGTTTACCTTTGTGAAAATTATAAATGATGAAATCATGTCAAGAAGCCGGATCCCAAATATGTTTACTCAGAAGTAAGTACTGCTGAATGCAGTGAATTTCTTTGCTGTGCATGTTTACAGTTGCAACCTTCATAATAAAAAATATTTTACCATAAAAAGTACCTGGATTTTTAATACACATGCAAGCTGAAAACACCTGCCCCCAGTCTTTAAAAAAGGAGTGTATTTCATAAAAGGGTACTAACGATGTATTTTTGCCAGCATAAAGTATGCACAGAATAAAACAAAGGGAAATGCAATGATTTCTTCTTTGTTTACAAGTTGTGCTTGTGTTGCAATTTTACCGCATAGACTCTTGCTTGATTTATTAGCTTTCAGAGTCGAGCTCTGCTGTGCTGTTACGTTCTTTTGCCATGTAAAGCACCTCCAAAGACCTCCTGCTGCGAAACTCTATTTATTATTCATAGGATTCACTGGGAAAAGCAGAAGACGAATAAGACCAGAGCAGTCACTGCAACCTTCTCAGGTCAAACATTTTGGCTTCTAGACTCCCAAAGGTGACATCCTTCCTGCTTTTCCCACAAATTACTGGAAAATAGAACATAAAATGCTAATGATTTTTGTTGAAATACTAGGTGAAACACAACCAGAGAGGAGGCTAGCCTTTCATGGAAAGAAACGAGTAATTTTAAAGGCTGTTCAGTCTCCTTGTCAGGGCCTTGGGGTCTTGAACGAAGGTCTGCTGTAGTACAGGCACACAAATACTAGGGAAAACATAAGCAGAGAAGAAGTTGGCCTTTCATTGAAAGGAATAAGTAATTTTAAACACTGCTCAGTCTCCTCATCTGGGCCTTTGGGTCAGGCACAGAGCACTACATCACCAAGGGGCTTCTCCAAGCCATAGTTTACTGTGCGCTTGCCACTGTTCATGTTCCCATTTAATTTATGTAGTACACATGACATTACCCTCAAACACCTTGTAAACTTGGGTTTACCCAATGCAAGGAGAATCTGATAAGTTGGGGGGAAATCAGGTTCCAAACTGCTCTACTCAGGGTCACAATTTGCTTTGGTGTTTGGGGGTGGGATCAGTTGTTACTCTCTGCTATTCCCCCTTTCATCCCTGCTACTTCTTCAGTGGTTTCATTTCTTTTACAGTTGTGTTTGTTTCTGGTGTGCTCCTGGATGGTGTGCTCCTGG